GTTTGGATGGTGATAAGGGTAGGCGAATCACTGTTCATTTTCGCCTATATGCGTTTTATAATATCTTTCATTATATATATATATATATATATATATATATATATATAACTTTGACTCCCTTCAACGACACATTCACGAGTCATCATAACCACCCAATTTGAAATCTGATTGACAAGAGTAATTGATACCTCCTTGATTAATAGTAAAGGAAAATGGTTTAATAGGGCTGCGACCCAATCAAAGTAAGGAAAACCTTTATATTGATCATCTTGGCTTGAACATTATGGTTGTAAAAAAATTAGGATTTCAAGTTATAAAAATAGTGTATATTGTAAAAAAATTTCTCAACTGTCTATTTAGCACAAAAATTAAGTGTGCATGGGTTTGCAAGATTTGTACATTTTTTTAGCTTTAAAATTTATTGCTAGTGTTGGAAATTGAATTTAGAGCCATCATGGAGATTTTCGTTACCGAAAGTGCTTTCCTGACGAGGATCTAGGCATTTTATTTTGTTTTCATAAAGCCCGGGTCTTATAGAAGCTTCATCCTTTCATAGGTGGCAACTCCATCTAGCCCTTTAGGGATGGAAAAAGTTTATATAAGGGTGAGCCCTAAACAATCAAATTAAAGCGCACATAAAAAATGCACTAAAAGAGGTTTTTGATGCTGAAAACTCTCGATTCAATCATCTTGACTAAAGATATATGGACATGAGAAAAAATAAATTTCAAACCTTGGAAATAAGTGCATCTTGTGATGTGTTATTTAGATCGTCTATTTTCAAGAATTTGATGTGATCATAGATCTGCTTGATCTATACTATTTTTTAATTTTAAAATTTTTATAATTAGAAATCGAAATAAATTTTCAGGGCATCACAAATATTTCTTATACTGAAACAACATTTTTTGACACTATTTGAAGACACGCCTTACTTTGATTATTTAAGGGCTCGGCCTTATACAAACAACACCCATGATTATAGATTATTATTATTATCTTTCCAAATTTTTTTATCACATCAGCTTTATATTTTATTTAAGGAAAACGTTTATATATGGGCAAGGCCCTAAACAATCAAATTAAGGAGTGCCTCAAAAACTCACTAGAAGAGATTGTTTTGATGCTAAAAAATCCTCAATTCGATCATCTCGACCTCAAGATGTATGGACATGAGAATAAATAGTTTTCAAATCCTGAAAATAGTACATCTTGTAATGCATTGTCTAGACTATCAAATTTCAAGATTTTCAAGTATTCATAGATTGCTCAATTTACGCTATTTTTGACGTTTTCAATTTTATAATTAAAGATGAAAATAAATTTTCAAGCGATCACAAAGATTTTCAGTACTAAATAACTTTTTTTCGATACTATTTGAAGGCACGCCTTACTTGGATTGTTTAAGGCCTCAGCCTTATCACACCATTAAATAAAATGGTCAGCCTATTTTCACATCTCTCAAAGAACTATTTTTGGGGGTTTTGCCCTTTTTTTAAAAAAACGGTTAGCATGCGGCCTGCCCAAATATGGTAGAAATGCAGGCTTGACAATAAATATATTTTTAAAATATTAGTTGTTCTTAATTTTTAGCGAATATATAATCTTTAACATGGAAATCATGAATATGAAAAAAAAAAAAATTGAAAACTAGAAATAGTAATTATATTAAAAAACATTTGGACATTTAGTTAAAATTGTTTTTAGATAGACCATCCATCTTTAAGATGGATGCTTTATACCTTTGGACCATATATTGTAGAAATATGGTCCATCCCGCAAGAAACTAACTCTCTTTACTCGTGTGCTAAAGCTCGAAGCAAAACTAAGATGCGCAAAGAGAATCCATATGCCAAATTTGGAGCCAAAAAGTGAGATCCTCGTGAGCCACCAAGACAGGAAGGAGAACAGATGTGCCGCTCTTTCTCTCTCTCAGGGTACTTTTTTTAAATTTTTAGTAAGTACTCATGGTACCTTTCCGTTATGGATAATTGACGAAATATTAAATTTACCAACAAACAACACCAGTAAAAATAACTATGTTTAAGAGAGATAAATAAAAATTGTAAAGGAAATCACAAGAAGAAAGAACAAAATATGCGGATACGAGTATTCTGACACGAGCGCATAAATACAAGAGAAGAAACACACCCACAAATGGTCTCTCTCTCTCTCAACGATCTCAAAGATAACATTTTTTTTTCATTCATCAAAATTCCATCCCCTCAATTACCATTCACATAAGTATGCATTCACAACCCTAAACATAATTGCCAAAAGAAGATGACTTACAAATAGAGTATTACTCAAATCTTATCCATTGTCTTACACTTCCTATTTCAAAGGACAACATAAACTTTCTTAATCTAACTTTGTCTTTTATTAACAACCTAATCTACTCCTATCAACTAAGAAAATAACCTTGGGAAAATATCTACATTTGGCTTATTTTTACGTTTCATTTTTTGATAAACCCAAAGTTTAAAAAAATATCTTCTAACCCCATGGCCATTTTAAACCTATTTTTTAAGCTAAACAAATGTGAGAAATACATGCTCTTTCTATACCCAATCATTTCTCTCTTCAATTATATACCCCAAACTTCTTTTTAATCTCTCTTCTTGCATATCTCATGCTCTCTCTCCTCCTATATTTCTCCAAACACCTCTCTCTCCTTCTGATAACCTATCACCTCTATGATATCCAACCGAGTCATTTCTCTCTCTTCACTTATATACTCCAAACTTCTTTATTTTCCTCTCTTCCTACATCTCATATTCTCTCCAGAAACATGAAGAGAGAGAGAGAGAGGAGGAGAAAGAGTGAGGGGAGAGAGATGGGAAAGACAGAGAGAAGTGGTGTAGGAAGAGAGAGAGAGAAATTTGGTGGGAGAGACAGAAATTTGGGAGGATGGCCTTTAGAAAACATATATCTCTTTAGATTTGTTTGGCTTAAAAAACGAGGTTTAAATTAGCTTAGGGGGTTAGAAGAAATAAAATTTACAATTTTTATTCCTCAAGATATCGTTTAAAGCCTTGGGTCTATTATGAAATGAAACCTAAAAATAGAGGCTATGGAGATATTTTCCCAATAACATTTTTACAAAAAAGAAACTACCAATTAATACTTTATCATTTATAACCAAAATACTTATCTTACTAAAATTACATCCTTATCTCTTATTCTCATGCACCAACAACTACTATTATACTTGCAACTAATAACTTATCCATTCCATAAAAGATAACTCCTATTTAAAACCCATAAAGATAGCTAAAGATGACCATAAAAGATAACTCCTATTCAAAATATATTATTTCAATTTCAGAACTCTTTTTGATGGCTTGAAAAATTCATTTTCATATCTAATTGTAAACTTTAAAGATTAAAAAAAATAAAATTGTTTCATGTGGCTGGAGTGCTTTTCTACATATGCGGTCTAGAAAGTATAAAGCATCCATCTTAAAGATGGATGCAAGTAGGTGTTCCATATAAAAACAATGGAAACTAGCAGTACAAATGTTTTTTTATTAGAACTATTATTCTAGTTTTTAAAATTCATTTATTTATTCATATTCACGATCTCCATGTTAGAGATTACATGCTCTTAAAAATTGTCTTAAAATCCATCTCAAAAATAGATTTATTAAGAGACCTGCATTTCTACATATGTGGGGTTGGTGGCATAGAAACCGGGTCCTTAAAAAGGAATAAGTTTATATAAAGATGTAACCTTATAATGTAGAACTACATATGCCTCTCAAAATTCCATTGGGAAATGTAGTTTTAATGTTGAAAAACCCTTTGATTGATCATCTCGATATCTAGATGTATGAATAAAAAAGATTTTAAGTCTCAGAAATAGTGCATTTTACAACATATTATCTACACCGTCCATTTTCAAGATTTTCGTATGCTTATAGATCAACTTGATTTTAACCATTTTTTAAATTTAAATTTTATAAAAGTAGATTTTGAGATAATCTTAAGAAAATTTTACATCAAAATTATATACCATGATAAAATTTGAAGGTGCACCTTACCTCGACCCCTTCACATGCATCAGTATTCCAACTGCACCAGTATTCCAACTGCACCGTTAAAAAAATAGCCTAGATCGAACAAATCCATGAGTACATAAAATTTTAAAAAATCGACGATCTAGATAATACATTAAAAAAATACACTATTTTCAAGACTTGAAATCTATTTGTTATCCTATTCATACATCTTCGGGTAAAGATAATCCAATTAAGGGTTTTTGAACATCAAAACAATTTCTTTGAATGAATTTTTGCGATGCGCCTTAATCTAATGGGTTACCCGTATACCAACTTTTTCCTTATAAGTAACGGTTGCAGTACCAAGGCAATGCTACTTTGGTAATATCCTCTACATACATGGTCGATTCCATCTCTCGTTTCAGCGTTTACTGTATTTGAAGGAAGGTTCAGCATTTTGTGCAGGGCAAGCCGACTCTGTGAGTGAGAGAGAGAGAGAGAGAGAGAGAGAGAATGGGTAGAGCCTTTCTGTATGTAATTCTTGGGGGAGGGGTTGCCGCTGGTTATGCAGCGCTTGAGTTCACCAGAAGAGGTATCGGTCATGGAGAACTATGCATTATCTCTGAGGAGCCTGTAAGTCTCTCTCGCTGGACTTGCGGATTTATTAATCTGTTTTCCTCGAATTTACTATTTCATTTATGTTTTATTTGGTATATTTTTACTTTTTTGTGTTGTATTTCTGTTTCTCTGTTCCTTTTATTTCTTGCTTTCAAATTTGCAGTACCCAATATCTTCAACATGCTTTCAAATTTGCAGTACCCAATATCTTCAATATGCTGTCAAATTTTTTGCAGTACCCAACAACTTGAATATGCAGTCAAATTTTTTTGATGGGTTTCTCTTGGTTTATTTCCATATAAGCTGTTTGTTGGTACATGCTATTTATCTTTTTATTTTATGGATTATTCGCTATTTCAACGTCGTAGCATCCATCCATCAGTAACAATCTTGCTTGTTTCTTCCTTTAATAGGTGTCCATCCTCTCTCTCTCTCTCTCTTATGGGAAAACTTTATATAAGGTTGCAACCTTATACTATAGAAGCAAGATGCACCTCAAAAATCTAGTAGAAAAGAGTCTTTCAAAGTTGAGAAACCTTCCCATTGATCATTTCGATCTCAAGACGTATGGATATAAAGAAAAAAAATAAATTTCAAGTCTTGAAAATAGTGCATCTTGTAATAAGTTATTTGAACAGTCTATTTTCAAGATTTTCAAGTGTTTATAGATATGCTTGATCTGCATAGCTTTTAGAATTTAAAATTTCATTATTAGGGTTAAAATGGTTTTTCAAGCCATCGTAAGATTTTCAACAGTGGAAGTACACCTTGTCTCAAAATTTAGGGGTGCACCTTATTTGGGCACCTAAAACAAGTTATATCATCATCCCTCGAGTCTTATCCCAACTATTTGGGGTCAGCTACATGAATTCTGTTCCATTATTGTTCTCTTTCTAGGGCCATACCCTCAGTCATGCCATAGGTCACGACGTCTCCTTATATGCTTTCCCTTTGCCCTTTTAGAGCTTTCTATTTGAACCAAATCACCCCTCCTAATCAATGTTGTTCTAAGTCGACGCTGCACGTGGCCAGACGTCTTAAGTCTACTTTTCCTGATCTTATTGCCTATTGGAGCCGCCACTAAGTTCCCTCGGATGTATTTATTTTGAATTCTATTCTTTCTTGTTTTATCACTCGTCCATCTCAGCATCCTCATCTTAACTACATTCATTATATGAATATGTTGTTTCTTGACCGCCATATTCCGTCAGGTAAAGCATGGTTGGTCTAGCAGCCGTCCTATTGAACTTCTTCTTCAGTTTCATTGGTAATATGACGATAACATAAGACGCCGAAAGCATATCTCCGCTTGCAGCTCTAATTCAATGGGAGACATCTTCCTCAATCCCTCCATTCTCATGTATTATTGATCCAAGATATTGAAAATACTATCTTTTAGGTACTTTTTAGCCATCAATCTTAACTAAATCCTCATTTCTACTTCTATAAGTGCTAAACTTGCATTTCATATACCTTGTTTCTAATTCTACCACACATACACCCATATATATATGTGGAGAGAGAGAGAGAGAGAGAGAGAGAGAGAGAGAGAGAGAGAGAGAGAGAGAGAGAGAGAGAGAGAGAGAGAGAGAGAGAGTAGTAGTAGTAGTAGTAGTAGTAGTAGTAGTAGTAGTAGTAGTAGTAGTAGTAGTAGTAGTAGTAGTAGTAGTACGTAGTAGTAGTAGTAGTAGTAGTACGTAGTAGTACGTAGTACGTAGTAGTACGTACGTACGTACGTACGTAGTACGTAGTACGTACGTACGTACGTAGTACGTACGTACGTA